AGGAGGGACGGTGGGAGCCCCGCCGGCTGCCGGGGGGGGTGGCGGCGTCACAGACTGCTGCAAGGGCACAGGCGGCAGTGGGGCTGGCTGCGGCATGGGGAGAGCATGCCCACAGCGCCGGCCCCGGCTGCGCGGCTCTTGGCTCCCGGCAGCAGCGCCGTGCCGAGCACGCAGTAATTTTCCTCTGTTTACTTGACAACTTGCCGTCTGCCCCAGGCGAGCAGGGACCCGGCGTCCAGGGGCCAATGCAGTGCAGACAGTGGGGGCGTGGGGTAGAGGAGTCTGGGCCATGGTGCCGGGGGCTGTGAGCCTATCGCAGCAATGCCGTGGGGCAGCGCAGCGGTGCTGTGGGGACACATTACCCGTGGGGGAGTGGTGCTGTGGGGCTAGGCAGGCAAGGGGAGGGGAGCGCAAGGTTTTGGGTCTGCCTGGGTCCCCGGGTGCAGGGATGGGGATGGGGAGGGGGACAGGGATGGATACTGCCCAGAGCCACGGTGCCGGAGCCAGTCAGGGCAGCCCCCACGGAGCCACTGCCCCCACGGCCACCGCCGTCACTGCGCTCCTGACGCGGTAACGAGCCTAATTGAGGAAAATTGCTGGAGCACGAAGTGGTTTCTGGGAAGGTAAATATGGTCATGGAGCAGCGCCGGGTCCTGCGCCTGTTGCTCCAGTGTTGCCGTGGCAACACCTCACTGTTGTCCCCCCGTGGCACCTTGACACCCCACCGGGACCAGGCTGGCCCCACAACGCCGAGGGCATGGGGACCCCCAGACCCTGCCCAGGCAGGGTGACGTGCAGCATCAGGGCCCCGCATCTGCCACCCCATGATGGGGACCCTTTGGGGACCCCCAAGCCAGCTCCAGCCCACGGGGTGTCCCTGCGGTAACGCCCTGTGTCCCCCAGGGCCGTGAGGCAGCCCCCAGCACTGCCCCATATCCCCACAACCCCCTGTCCCCCACACAGCCCCTTGTCATGTCCCGCCATCCTGCCTGCAGGCTGGCTGGGTCTGGCACACCAAGGGGTCCATGTCGGGGATGGCAGATCCCCAGGCTCAGCCCTGTCCCCGCTGAGGGGGCTGAGGCACATGGCAGGGGCTGGCCAGGGGTCAGAGCTGGCAGCCCTGGGCACAGCCCTGAGCAGGGACGGCATCTGCTGGTGGCCAGGAGCCTTGTGCAAGCACCTGATGCCCGCCGGAGCACATCCCCTCCCTCGGAGCTGCTCACCGTGGCCCCGTAGCACCTACCGCCAGCCTGGCTGCCGCCCCAAAGCCGGGGCATTGCCTGTGCCACAGGGCTGAGCCTGCAGCACCTGTGCCCTGGTCATCCCCCCGCTCCCACAGAGCCACGTGCCCCAGCCAGCAGCTCCCCCAGCACACACGGACCCCCAGGACTGCTGGGCACGGCCCCTCCTCGGGCGGCGACACAGCTCCTGAGACCCCAGGGAGAAGGAGCAGGGCGTCCTGCAGCCCCTGGGAGCAGGGCCAGCCCTGGCCCGAGGAGATAGCTCCCACGGGACTGCCGTCGGCATCTTTTCCCATCACCGTGGAGAGTTTCTAGAAGGGGACAGCCCACTGCCCCTGTGCTGCCGTGCCTGCCGGCTGCTGGGGCTCTGGCCGCACCCAGGGCTGAGGGCAGAGCCTCTACTCACAGTGGGTGCCTGCGGAACACGGCACCCACCCTGCACCGGGCTGCGGGACAGGGCAGGCAAGACGTGAGTGGCTTGGAGGTAGCTGCCCCTGCCCCTCACCCCCGGGACCCTGCTGGGGCCGCAGCGAAGGCTGGGGCTGGGGGACCCCTCCCTGCCGTGGCCTGGCACTGCCCGCGGTGAGCGTCATCCCCGTGTGCACCCTGACGGCTCCCCGCACAGCACCAGGCTGTGGGTAGCACAGCCTGCACCCCCACACCCCCAGGGTACATCTCAGGCAGCACAACCTGCGCAACACACACACACGCGTGTGCACACACACTCACAGATGCACACTCACACACACACACACACACACGTGCACGCCTCGGCTGCCTGCCAGGAGCCGCCCGTTCCCAGCGACCGGCAGAAGGAAGGCGCTGCCACCAGCCCAGCAGCCCACACGCCCCGGGGCAGACGGGCCTGGGGGGCGGAGGCCGGACTCAGCTGCAGCGCGATTCCCTGGCTGTGGGGCTAAACCCAAGGTGCGGAGTGGGGCCGGAGCGTTAAATCGCCACTTGCCGCCCGACTCGACCTGCTCGAGCAGCGGCACCCCTGCGGCTGCAGCCAGGCACCCCGGGGCCGCGGCGCCTCGCAGGAATACTCCCACTTTATCAAGGGAACTGAGCACCACAAATTGGTCTTCTAAGTAGATCCTGCCCGATGCCATCCCCTCTTCCCACCGCTTAATTCAATGATACAACACATACCTCTCTTTCTCCCACCATTTAATCTAATTATAAGCACCGTATCCGAGTCACAGGGAAAATAAACCCTTGCTGAGTTCAATTTTTATAGGTAAACAGCCTGATTTCTCTGGCCTGCGGCCTCGTTCCCTTGCAAGGGCACCCCCCTGCCACCTGCCTTCCACACTTCTCCTGCGCCGCCTCACCGCCCTCACCCCCGTGGTTTGTTATTAGTCTTTATAAAAATCGCCTGTTTATAGAATGATTTCAGTATGACATTTCATTAGAGTTTGAGCGACTGCTTCGCCTCTGGCTTTACAGCACCCAAGCCAAGAGAAAAACAAGGCAGAGGCTGGTGGGGTTGGGCTGCAGGCCCCCCGTACGTGGGCTCAGGGACACGATTGCCGATTGCTTGCGGCATGCGCCCAGGCACGGGGAATAGTGCCGGGCTCCGCGGCAGCCGGCCAGCAGCCTGCCCGGGCCGGGGAGGCAGGGGGGTGTGCACCACACAGAGCCCGTCCCGCACCAGGCCGGGAGCCTCGCCGGGCGCAGGCAGAGCCGGCCCTGCCCGGCCCATCGGAGCAGGGAGCCAGCCGGCTGCAGCTCTCCGTGCCGGAGCACGGGGCCACAACCCACAGACGAGCTGCTCGGGGGCTGCTGCAGTCCGATTGCGCCGGCAGCGTGCGGCCAGCTCCCAGCGTGTCGGGGCAGCTCTTGCCCACGCACGCAGCCCTGTCCCGCTCCCCTCACACCACGCACCGCTCCCTCCCTCGGGCGGCCCCGAAGTGCAGGGGATCCCCCAACCGGCAGGCTCCGGCCACCCGGCTGGGACAGGTTGCCTTCCTCCAGCGCTGCCAGCCCCAGTGGAGCCCCTTCCCATCCCCTCGGGATGCACGGACCCAGGGCACACAGCTCCAGGCGCGCTCAGGGCTTCCAGCCAGGGCAGCCCCGCTCGGCTCCACGCTCCCCAGACACGGGGCACACCACGGGGCCCGTCCTGCGGGAAAAGTCGAAGGAGAGGGGCCATGATAGCGATAACCGTCACCTCTTGCCGCTGCTCCCCCGAGGGCACTCACTCCCTGCAGGCTGTGGTGAAGTGGGGCCTGGCAGCGCCGGGGCGAGGGAGCGGGACGGGGGGCGGCTCCAGCAGAGTCGGCAGCAACAGGGGCCAAGGCACCGTCCTGCTGCGGCAGAACCGGGCAGCGCGCCCCGGCACGCGAGCGCCCTGGGAATGTTTTGGTGATGGGAGGTAAACAGGGTTGTGGCTCAGCGTAAAGAGATGCACTTGAGGAGAAATTCTAGCAATGCTAAGTATAGTTTAAATGCCATTAAAGCAGGGGAGGGAAGAGGATACGAGTGTATTAATAGTCTCAACATTTAAATCTTTGGTCCAGCGACAGCTCCTAGGATGCTGGCTCGCAGGAGGGCTGCCAGAGCCCAAGGGCATTGTGCTACCGGCATGCAGCACCAGGCTGCACATGCTTGCGGTGAAATTAAGAGCCCAGAGCAAGTGCAAGGGCAAGATCCCTTCTGGAAAAAAAAAAAATAATAAAAATAAGAGGTGGCTTCTGCTGTCTGCGTTACTGCTCCTTAGGACTTGGTCAGGCCTGAAAAGGCAAGGAAAGCCCTGGCCTTTATTGCCAGCGCTGAAGTCTCAAATGGAAAACACAGGGCTTCAGCCACAAAATAGGAACATTTTGGAAGTCTAAAAAAGGGAAGAACAAGGGCCCTGTCCCAGCAAGGCTGCGGGCGCACACGAGCCAGCGCTGACAGAACAGCAGGCACACGCGG